CAACCAAAAAATAGCCGGGTGTTGTGGCAGGCACCTGTAGTCCCAGCTACTTGGGAGGTGGAGGCAAGAGAATCACTTAAGCCTAGGAGTTGGAAGTTGCTGTGAGCTGTGATGCCACAGCACTCTGCCCAGGGCCACAGCTTGAGGCTGTCTCAAAAAAAAGAAATCCTAACAAAGATTTATTTGGTTAAGGTAAAAATAACAAACAGGAAATGAAACAGCCTTTGCATGGAAAGGCCTTCTCCAAGGAAGTAAAAATCCTATGCCAATAATCCTAGTGAAATTCTTAAGATGCAAACCAGATTCTGGGATACTTTGTGTTTTCAAAGCAAAATAAACATTTGAGGCAGAAAAAAATATATCAGTAGAGTTCAGAGTGCACTTTTATAACACTGTTTGATCTCACCTACCCCATTTCTAGCTCTTAGGGGTTTTTTTTTGGACAGGGTTTGGTTTGTTTATTTTTAAAACAGAGAAGGCATCTCCCTATGTTGCCCAGGCTGTTCTCAAACTCCTGCACTCAAGTGATCCCCCTGCCTTACTATCCCAAGTATCTGAGATTACAAACAAACCAGCCACAGGCTTTTTTACAAATCTTTTTTTTATTTTTAGTGAGACAAGAGTCTCACTTTGTCGCCCTTGATAGAGTGGTGTGGCGTCACAACTCACAGCAACCTCAAGGGCTTAAGTGATTCTCTTACCTCAGTCTCCCAAGAAGTTGGGACATCTGCCACAGGCACCCGCCACAGCACCCAGCTATTTTTTGTTGCAGTTACTACTGTTGTTTAGCTGGTCTGGGCTGGGTTTGAACCTGTCAGCCTCAGTGTATGTGGCTGGCACTGTAACCACTGTACTATGGGTGCCAAGCCCTTTTTTAAAAAATCTTAATTGCATGGGAGGCCAAGGCGGGTGGATTGTCTGAGCTCAGGAGTTTGAGACCAGTCTGAGCAACAGCAAGACCCCTTCTCTTAAAAAAAAAAAAACAAAAAACCCCAGGTGTTATGGCAGATGCCTATAGTCCCAGCTACTTGGGAGGCTGAGGCAAAAGAATCGCTTGAGCCCAGTTTGAGGTTGCTGCGAGCGATGATCCCATAGCACTCTACCAAAGGTGACAAAGTGAGACTGTCTCAAAAAAAAATCTTGGCCAGGCATGGTGGCTCACTCCTGTAATCCTAGCACTCTGGGAGGCTCTCTGTCTCAAAAAGAAAAAAAAAATCTTTAATTACAATAATTGCAAATTCAGTGGAAATAAGTTTCATAGTATAAAAGCAGGAAAAATAGGCATCAGAATTAGACACAATTTCAAATCACAGCTCCTTCACTGCTAATTGTGTATCCTTGGCAAGTTACTTCACTTTTGAATTTCTGTTCCTCACCTACAAAATAATCATACTATCTAGAGGCAGGTTGTGATGATTCCAGGAAAAAATGGTGAAGCAATGAGCTCAGTAAACATTTACTGAATTATGGTGCTACTAAATAAAGGAACCAGGAGAGAACGCAGGTCCTGGTCAGTTTTTATCTATTTCATGTCAATCTAGTCTCCACGGTCTCAATTTTGGAATGAAACACTAAATATTTCTATAGTACTACAATTAAAATTATTTTTTAAATAGCATTTTTGCCAAATACTGTAGCTCTATGTTTCTAACACAGCTGATCAATAGTCTGACTTAAATTATATAAAATAACTAAGTAAAAATTCTTAATTTTACAGAGGTAAACAACACTTCAGATTTTTGGAGATTATACAGTTAAGAGTAACAAAACCCAATGATTAATCAGTCTCAAATAAACTAAAGCTGCTTCTAAGTTATGGAAGAGTCTTTCCTGAAACTTTTTCTTTTTTTTTTGGAGTCTCACTGTGTTGCCCTCAGTAGAGTATCATGGCATCACAGCTCACAGCAGCCTCCAACTCTTGGGCTGAAGTGATTCTCTTGCCTCAGTCTCCCAAGTAGCTGGGACTACAGGCACCTGCCACATTGCCCTGCTATTTTTTTGTTGTTGTTGTTGTAGTTGTCATTGTTGTTTAGTTGGCCTGGGCTGAGTTCGAACCCACCACCCTTGGTATATGTGGCTGGTGCCCCAACCACTGTGTACGGGCGCCAAACCTCTCTTTTGAAATACATACATAATGGGAAGAATGATCTGTAATCTTTCTTAGTAATCAATATCATTTTCAACACTCTCTTTATCATAAAGCCTATCATGTTTTAGTTCATGCTCACTTGCTTCTATCTTCTGAGTTAAACACAGAAAACTACACATAAGGTAAGAATCCACCTGATTCTTCAAAAGGACACCACTTTCTTAGCTGCTCTTTGTAGGAACTATTTTTCTAAACTCCTGCAAAGGGACTGATTTTCAAACTTTGAATCACAATACCTTCTTAGTAGGAAGCTAATTAAAATTCTTAATGCAAAAGAGAACAAATCTGCTAGGATGGAGAGAAGCCCTAGGAACTATGTCCTGAATCCTTTCCGGTTCTGAGTGACAGAGACAAGAATTGTAATTATCTGTCCAGTTAAGGTCACAACATAAGAGGATGATCTCTGTGTGTTCCTATTTATGGAATGCATTCTTTTCTACCAGAGACATTCAATGGAATCAGATAAACGGAGATGGGAACGGACTCAGCACTTAGCCAAAATTCCTCTCTTCCAAGTCCTTGTGGATATTCTGATATTGGAAAATGTTTTAGATGCTCTAGCTTGTCCCAGAAAAACAACTTTTTCTGGTCAAAGGGCTAATCTATTTTTATTCTTTGTGAAGCCAGATTTCTCACAAACTGATCAAAGTAGAATGCAGTGATCCCAAGTCAACATATTTTGATTCTTTTCTGGACCCGAATCAGAAGATGACAAATACCTCTTAACACTACGAGATGTTGTTGAGCAGATCTTTTTACGTTTTTATGTTTTTGTTTCATCTTTTACAAATAGAGAGAATAACAGTGCCATCTCTTAGGATTATGGTAGGGATTAAGTGAGAAGACAGCTATCATGAGTTTGTGTCTATGGCATAGTAAGAACCAATAAATGTTAGTTACTATCACCACTAGCATCATTGTCATCTTGGAGTCTGGAGAGATATGGCAATTCTTTCATGAAATAAGAAAATTGTGGAAATATATAATGAAGATTTTAAAATCTGAAATCAACTCTCTAAAAAGTGCTTTCTCAACAAAGTGCACCATGTCAACGAGTACTCAATACAATTACCCTACTCTATCCTTTTCCCCTAAGTGAGAATTAATGTTTGCAATGGAAAATGAAGAAAATTCTTTTTTTCAAAAAAAAGAGTACAAACCAAGACAATATCTACCCAGGAAAGTCTCTTAAAAATAAATTTCAAGTTGCTGCTCTGAGGTCAGATGTAACTAATAATTCAGCACTTTGATTCAACTGTCAGAGAAGAATAAAAAGCAGAATATAGCATTCTTTAAAATCAATTTTGTTCTCATGTTTAATCAACTTCTGTCAGAAAACTTTGTAATATGCAAGGTTATGATTTGCTTATAGCTCAATCCAGTTGTAATACACATTCTATATCAAGGCACACAAATGCACAAATAATCACAGTTCCGTTAGGAAATGTTTAAACATGTCCTTAAAGAAAAATAGAATTATATTTTAAGTCAGCTGCCAACGCTCACATCAAATTCATATTCTTGGAATCTGTTTGTTTAAAATCAATTTTGATCAGAGAGAAAAAAACCTTGAGCATAATAATTTTGAGATCCAAGTAATAGTAAGAAGACATGGTCCCTCTTTCTGTGTAGATGTATTGTTATAAGATCATGTAATAAGGTCTTCTGTCTACTTGCATGTAAGTTCCAGTGTTTTGTGTATGTTTGCTTTAAAGGACCTGTCAATTCACTCCTACCCTAAATCCTAAAGGCTATAGCACCATGCTTGAAAATAAGGAGACATAACACAGGTAACTTGAAATTCCTGTGGAATTTGGAATGACCCAGCCACACTGAGCATATCTCTGAGTAGGCTCCAAGCACAGCACAAACAGGAGTAGGCATCAGCTTGGCAAAACCAGAAACCCTCACCAAAAGACACTGACCTTTCGATGACTTGTAACTTCGTCTCTGCTTCTCCCCAGCTCCTCGGCAAGTTTAACGTTCTCTTCTTGCAATGCTGAAAGCTGCTGGGACTTCTGAGCTGCTGCCTGCTTTAGGGTTTCTCTGCAAGGACAGTGAGTGCAGGGTTACCATAGAAACAAGACAGGCAAGGAAACTGTGGGAGACAACCAGTTTCACAGCACTGAGGAAAATATATCTGGGTCACGTGCTTGATGGGATCTATAATAACAGGAGACAGGATTATCTACACATAGGAGGGGCCAAATGGCTTTAACCTCTCAAAAGGAGGACTGCCACCTACAGTTACTACATTTTTAAAAAACCTAATAAACACCATGCCAGCTCTCCCACCACCCACACTTATACAAAAAGGAAGGAATTCTGCTATACAAGAAATGACAAATGCGATGGTCAGTACAGCCCTCTTGTCTTTAGGAATATTTCCATTAGATAATTATAGCAGAAACCACTACATTGATAACATAATTTAATTTGCTGCTAAAGCACTCTGTTCTAACTACACAGATATATGACTTGGTTTTTACTGGAAGAAATAAAAATCTAATGGTCTCATTTACCAGTATCTATCAGTCAAGTGCTGATGTAAACCTGAGTGTATTTTGAGAATAACCAGAGACAAAAATGCCCAAAGGAAATACAGTTTTCTAATTATATAACAGATGCTTTATTTTAGTAGTAGTCTTTCTATGATGATAATTTGTAATTAAAAGAACCAAACAAAAATATAATATAGCCTACTAACCTATATCATGAATGTCAGCATATAAAATATGAATCATTTTGAGAGGATAGTTGTATTAAGCATCTTTCCCATCATTAAAATTAATCCAAAATAGACGTCTCAAATTTTTATCCTTTATACACAAATATGCAAAATATTTTATTTGATCACTAAATTTTAGTTTTATGTTATAGAAGGCTTTGATGCAATTATAAATTTTAGTAAGTCTGAGTTGGTTAAACTCCATTTAGCAAGCTGTCATACATGGCTGAATTCTGAATCAAGTCATCTGGTTATGAATCCATCTGCTGATGCATGAATACATCTATTTTTAACTTCAATTGTCTAATGTGTGGCAGTGCTTGGCATATTCAGTTTTCTCAGTTTTTAATTTTTCATCTACCTATAACATGCATGCTGGGCTAACTTCATGAAGATTGGGCAAATAATATGAAATTTCTCTTAGCACACTATATTAGGCTTTTTAGAGAGATGTTTATTTAGCAAGTGAAGGAAAGTGGAGAAGAAATTTTAGTCTCAGGTAATTAGTCATTCTAAAGTTGGGAAGCCTGATTTTTTTATGCATACATACACATATACATATAATATACACATCACAGCTAAAGTTCTTTACTGTCCATCAATTCTTGACAAATCAGAAGATTTTACTTATGATAAAGTTATCATAAGCCAAATGTTTTATTTCCCAGGTTGTCACTGCCTTCATGAGGGACCATTTGGTCTCAGCATTTGTGCAGCTTGTCAAAGGGAAAAGTTTGTGCTCTCATTCCTTATCTTTTAAGCCCATAGTAAAGGACATTAAATAAAACAAGTCATCTAAAAATGGCCAAAATGTTCTAAAATACTGACCTATGAAAATTATATTTAATGCTTTAAAATTTACAAAATGCTTTTATGTATATTTTCTCATTTCATCCTCAAAGCCCAAGGAAGCTAATGTTATTATTTATGTTTTAACACGGAAAATGGAAAGACTGAAGCTTGGAGAACAAAAAAGATTTGCCCCAAATAAGAAAACCAGTAAGTACTAGAACCAAAAGAACAGGAGTTACAATTGGCAGATGACTTCAGTTGTGATCCAAATATAAGAACATTTTTCATTTTTTCTTAGTGGGTCAGGAGTAAATGCATTTTATAGAAGAAAGATCTGATATCCTAAATTCTGCAAATACTCAGGGAATGACTCTGAAAATACCTAAAAAAAAATTTATATTGATTTTTAAAGAAGTTATTTTTCAGCTTGGCGCCTGTGGCTCAAGTGGCTAAGGCGCCAGCCACATACACCTAAGGTGGCGGGTTCGAATCCC